TGGTAGGGAAGATCTACTCCTAGTCTTCTCGGACAAGGGCGAAAAATCTCAGAGGACCCATGTGCAAGTTGTGCTTGTTAAAGATCCCTTGGTGGCCTAAAATCGATAAGAGTAGGCTTCGGCAGCCACTCGGGCAAAATTCAAAATTTCCTATAAACTGGAAAAGTTTAATGTGTCCCTCGCGCTCATATGAACTTATGCATTTGCGACCGCCAAAAAAAAACCAAAACGACCCCACGACCTTGCTGATATCAACATTAATTTGTTTACTTGGCAGATTTGTTTAAACTTCTCCCCTTCTTGAACCCGGAGACAATTACACTGTCTGTCTTTTTGGCGAAAATTGTAACTCCACAAAAAGAGGATATCAGAAAATCAGCGTCTATGTCAGGTGACGTCCTTGGCAGTGTTATCCTGAATCAGCGCAGTGCTCACTGTTTGTTTCTTTTAACATCACAGCTCCCCCCCCCCCTACTTCCACGGGAGTCAAGATTACTTTGTCTTAAAATCATATCAGAGAGTTTACAGTAATACTGTAAACCCTCTCTGATTATATAATATCCTGTTCTTCTTAGCCCAGTTCGCAGTCTCTCTTCCCCCCATCCCACCCCACCCCAACCCCCAAAAATGACCCCCATCCCCCAGGAAAAACACTACGTTGCACAAATGTTTTCATAATTCGTAGTGTTATTGCCAAGTGCTGTTTCGTCAGATTTTGGAGCGCAGTTTTTGGAAAAAATGTTCCACTGTCCATATCCTTTATAAACGAACCTCACATTACTCAGATAGTGAATATGTCACTTGCCACTGGCACAGTACCTAATACTTTCAAACAAGCTATTGTAAAACCTTTATTGAAAAAACCCGGGCTTGATAAAAATGAATTTAAAAACTATCGACCAGTTTCGAATTTGCAATTTGTCTCAAAAATTCTAGAGAAGATTGTTTTAAGTCAAGTTTTGTCTCACATGAGAAAAAATGGTCTTGAGGAAATTTACCAATCTGCCTATAAAACTCATCATAGTACCGAAACTGCGCTTTTAAAAGTAACGTCTGATTTATTGGATTCCATTGATAGCAAAAACATCTGTCTTTTAACTCTTTTGGATCTGTCCGCAGCTTTTGACACAATTGACCATGCTATTCTACTCACAAGACTTGAGCGCTCATTTGGCTTATCGGGTACTGTGCTTTCATGGTTTAAGTCATTTTTACTAGAAAGAGTTCAGTCAGTGCAAATTAAAAATAGCTTTTCAAAGCAGGTCAGGCTCGATTATGGAGTTCCACAGGGGTCCGTTCTTGGACCAGTGCTCTTTACACTATATACACAGCCCTTAGCAAGCATTTTACAAAATCATGGATTGAATTATCATTTTTATGCCGATGATTCCCAAATGTATGTTAATGGCACCATTCAAGATCTACCAAACATGATTTCCATCACTAAACAATGTTTTTATGAAATCAAAAAGTGGATGACAGTAAACAAATTGAAACTAAACGAAGAAAAGACAGACATCATTCTTATAAAAAATCCACGATTAAATAAAGATCTGGAAAGTGTCAACTTTGATTTATATGGGCATATGACATCTAGTAAAGAAGTTGTCAGGAATCTCGGTGTATATATTGACCACCACTTATCAATGGGCTCGTTTGTAGGATCTCTGTCCAAATCCCTTTATTTTCAGCTGAGAAGGATAGGCCTAGTTCGAAAGTACTTAAGCGAAGAGACCACAAAAACACTGGTAACATCTCTTATCCTATCTAGATTAGACTATTGTAACTCACTCCTAGCAGGTCTGAACAACAAATATTTGAATCGTTTACAAGTAATTCAAAACAATGCCGCTAGACTGATAACAAGATCTAAAAAACGAGACCATGTCACTCCATTATTAAAAGAACTGCATTGGCTCCCTGTAAAAGAACGAATAATATTTAAAATCTGCGTCATGTGTTTCAAATGTGTAAATAAAACTGCTCCTTTTTATCTGCAAGAGCTTATCAGTATATATAAACCAGGGAGAAACCTAAGATCATCGAACGATAACACCCTACTTGTGACACCTGTAAAATCATACAAATCATATGGAGAGAGATCTTTCTCATATCTTGGTCCATTTATGTGGAACAGATTACCCATGAAACTAAGACAAATAAGAACACTTGATAGCTTCAAAAGACATCTTAAACATTTTCTGTTCCTACAGGCCTATCCTTCATAAGCTTTTAACGTTAGCTTTCATTATATTTGTTCTTTTCCTATGTCTGGATGAAAATAGTCTCTCTGTGTGTGTGTGTGTGTGTGTGTGTGTGTGTGTGTGTGTGTGTGTGTGTGTGTGTGTGTATGTGTGTGTGTGTGTGTGCATTAATGTATATTGCGTGAGAAGAAAGGAAGTAGTAAGAAAGGTTTTTGAAAAATGGGTATTCCAATGTAAAGCGCATTGAGCTACTTTTTTTGGAAATGCGCTCTATAAATGTTATATATTATTATTATTATATTATCTCTCTGGTACAACGACGTGCAAGGGAGCTGTTGCGTTGAAACCTGCGGCACTTTGTTCACGTGAACCGGTCAACGAAAGACGACAAAGGTGAGTAGCATTCTAAGTACAGAGATATCTTTTCTTTGACAAGATTGTCCATTTTCCTTACACTAACATTATACTGGGCTAATAGAGAGACAGTAGCCAACAAGAACATTGAAAAGTGAATGTTTTTGATGGAGTTCCTATAGGCTATAGAAAAACAATAAGAATTTAAAAATAAAACGCTCTCACACGGATTTTCAATAGAAGTAACGTCACACTTCAACGCATCGATGAAGGTTAGCTTCCTCAAAATGACACAGCACTAGCAAATTCAAGACATGCCGTGCTGGCGTCTAACGGTAGTCAAATTTATTTATGTCAAATTTTTTGGTCGTCAAATTTTGTAGGCCCTACTACACCGTTTGGGTTAAAGTGAGAAATCGACACCGTACGTCATTCGTACATGGACGACTTCCGCTTTCGTATTTTTCATTTTCAATACACAAAACGTAAACAAACATGGCTGCCTACAGGATGGCACGGCAACACTCTGATCTAACTTTTATAGATCACCTAGGCCTAGATCTACAGCTTTCGGCTGGATTGTACTTTACCGGACCACCCGTCTGGGCCCGTGGTTACTACGCACGCCTAGCCTAACTACGCACTCATAGTTCTCTACGTGCGGACAATAGGTTGATTAGATCTTGATCTCTAGCTAGATCTAGATCTAGATCTAGATATTATAATTAGATCTAGATTTAGACGTCGGCGCTTTTTCTAGTTCCCACCACATGCGATTAAAAGTAGAAATGATGCAAACTATTTTTAGGTAAGGCGCCCATCTTGTTTGACGTCAGACCAGGATACCCCTCCGACTACATCTAAGTATAGACAACCGCATGGCACCAAAGATGGAAGTGTCTATGACATGTATATTATGCTTAATCTACACAAATTTCTCGGAAATTCTGATAGCTGATTTGATAGCGCGTCTGCGTTTGATGTCGAGTAATGACTTTTGGAGCGGTTCGATTCCGGTCCCGGACAGTTTTTTTTTTCTCTTTTCCTCCTCCCGACTGACCAACAGTTCCATAAATTATAGGCCTAATTTGTAGAGTTGCTTTGACTTTGAAGTTGTTGTTTATTTTTTTTAATGTATTAGTGATTTAAAATGCAGGGGGGGGTGGTAGATCTAAATTTAAATATCTAGATCTAGAAATTTTTTTTAGAAAATCACATCGCACAAAATCAACAGCTGTGGCCTCTTCCCAACACTAACACCTCTTCCCCCAGCAAGCCGAGAGTGCGTGATCGCTACGCGCAATCTCATTGGTCGACATAGTTTACTTTGCCCCCGGCAAGGTCAACTCAACTTAGTTGTTCTGTTATCATCATAATCGAAAAATTTTTCATAAATGCTGGAAATATTTAGGAACAAGGGTCGGAAGTCGGAACGGACGTCATGATGGACTATCATTGCACAGTATCACTTCGCCTAATACATGTTCCGGTAGATTTAACTACCTATAAATAGATGGAAGTTTGACTCGTGTCAAAGGTTGGGAGGTGGCTGACGATTTGGGAGGTGGCTGGTTGACGAAAGGGAAAAGTGCGTCTCCTCCAGGAAAGGACCAATGTTTGAAAGTACAGTTGAACCTGCTCCAACGGCCTCCTGTCTAAGACAATCACTTGTACAAATGATCACTTCCTATTTCTTCATTTTTAATATTAAACAAAAATTATTCTGACACTGCTCAAAACAAGAACCTCTCTGTACAATGTCTGGCTGTGGCTAAAACAGCAGCTAGTGATGGAAGGCTGGTGCTTCTATGAATAAATCGTTAATGGTTACAGTCCATTGGAAGGCTGTTGCCTCTATGAATAAATCGTTAATGGTTACAGTCCATTCAAAGGCTGGTGCCTCTATGAATAAATCGTTAATGGTTACAGTCCATTGGAAGGCTGGTGCCTCTATGAATAAATCGTTAATGGTTACAGTCCATTCGAAGGCTGGTGCCTCTATGAATAAATGGTTAATGGTTACAGTACATTTGAAGGCTGGTGCCTCTATGAATAAATCGTTAATGGTTACTGTCTCATTGGAAGGCTGGTGCCTTTATGAATAAATGGTTAATGGTTACAGTACATTTGAAGGCTTGTGCCTCTATGAATAAATCGTTAATGGTTACTGTCTCATTGGAAGGCTGGTGCCTCTATGAATAAATCGTTAATGGTTACTGTCTCAATGGAAGGCTGGTGCCTCTATGAATAAATCGTTAATGGGTACGTTTTAATGATGGCTTGTGCCTGTAGAAATAAAATAAATCCTTAACAGTTCCAGTTCAATGTCTGCCTTGACAATTTCGCCTGTGTATAGATATGGCCACATGTAAGAATCCCCAGATTAAGAGAACGGACCGTCACTGTCTTTGCCTATTTTTGAGATTTCACTGTTTACAAACGATATTCCTCCAAGCATAGTTGTGGCTGGCGCTAACTTAAAAAAGTTCTAATAATAGTTTGCTTCTAGGATCTCTTATCATGGTGCCTAAAATTTGTACAATCCAAAAGTTTCCTTCAATGTATGTTGTTGTATTTCCTCAATACATCCCACAGAATTCCTGTCCAAGCAAGCTAGCGAACTTTGGGACCAGAGTAAGAATGGGCTTGATGAACGGGATGTCCGTCACCATTGTACTGACAGCAGCTCTGCTCCTGTCTGCCCATGCATGGGTGCTCAAGGTCACGAATGACGAAGTGGAGGTCGGCAAAACAAAAAATATATCTTTGAAATGCGTCAACGTTTATCCCCTGACTGTAGTCTCTGAGATTGTCAGGATCAGAATCTTGAAATTTGAGGCTGACGAATGGAACAGCGTGGCCGAAGTTAGTGACAGAGGCAATGATCTCCGAACAAAGTCTAATAACGTGCTGGCGGAGGCCAGTAGCGGCACCATTGCCAGTAGGTTTCTACGGCTTACCTGGCCAGTGGCGACCAACGGTACTCTTGGCCAGTACCGTTGTGATGTCATTAGTTTGACGGCGCAAGAAAATGTAATGTGGCACAAAAGCCTGCCCATTTTAATTACGCGTAAGATCGTCACCATACAGACCCTGAGCTACAAGATGGAGGAATACAAACTGCAGTGTCTGAAACAGACGCAAGACGTGCTAGCAAATGCCACGGAAACCATAGAGGTGGTTGAAGCTGAGTTGCAGAGCAAGTTGGAGAGCCAGATAGAGGTGAGAATCTTTCTCCAAGTGTTTGTTCCACAATATTGACCAATAAACATTTCCCCAGGTATAGCGTATCCAGAAAACCGGAAAGTTGGGCAGATTTTTTCAACTATTATGTTAGACTGATGCCTAAAGTTGTACTGGAAGTTTCCAGAAATGCTTTGTCACCGAAAAAGCCATCTGTTTCATACTTGGAATTTGGCAACTAACATTGGTTTGAAAGAGTTGTGATGTGATTAGCTTTGTTTTTAGGGAGAATGTCATGTGGCAGAAAAGTCTTCCGTTGTTCTTGACCTTTAAGAGTGATGTCACTGTACAGGTTCTGAGCCACACAATGGAGAACGTCACAGAGGGACTTGATCAACTACGATCAGGGACGGAAGGAAGCGTAGAGATGCTGGAGGCGGGATGGGAGTCCAAGTTTGAGGTGAGTAATAAAAGAGTAATGGTAAAAAAATAACAATAATAAGAAGAGTGACCCTAAAGAATGGTACTGATGATAAAAACGATAATGTTATTTTTTTAATGTATGTGTAGACCTGCATGTTTGCCGACAATCGTCTGAAATCCGACAATCGCGACGCGACCCGCGAGGCGGCCGATGCTATCGCTAGGCCCACCTATATCAGTCAATGTGCGAAGTGCGAGGCCTGGCCGACTGCCAGCGTCCCCCTTTTCTCCCGCCGGCTTTGTCGGCACTTTCGTTTTCGTGCCGACCACCGACTGCCGACGTCGGCGTTTCCGACATAATTGTCGGAACCTGAGTAGAAATGCCAATACGAAAAAGGACGACGACCTAAATTATCTACTTTCAGTTTCGTGCTCGAGCGGCCATTTTCAATTTCGTTTTGTTGACAAATTCAATTGTTCAGATCGTGTAGATCCATTCCAGTCCGACTCACTTAGATAATAGAATCTAGATCTAGATCTAGATTTATATAGATCATTATAGACCTCAATGGAGGATTCATATTCCAATTCTATTTTGTCAAACCCTATCATAGGTTGTGCTGTAATATTAATGTTGGTAAAAGGCATTTCATCAGGTGCGTGAATTATTTATTTATTGAAAGTGGCTATTCTCACCCGCCCGGAAGTTCTCGCAAGATCAACTCCTCCCCTCTTCTCTCTCTCTCTGTCTCTTTTTGAATACTGTCTATCGGTGTGGACGATCAAATTGACCAAAACAAAGTTTAAAAAATGATGTTAAAACACAAAAATTAATTAATTTAGATCTAGATTTATTTAGTTTACTAGAATCTAGATCTATATGGAGGATTCATATTCCAATTCTAGAATCTATTGTGTTATTGTATCAAACCCTATTATTATAGATCTAGCAATATATGTAGATGTAGGCCATTATGCTCCTTGTAAGCCTTGTTTGTTTTGGAGTGTGGTTTTTTAATTTTAAAAATGTTTTTCATTTTGGACTTTTGCTGGCCTTTTCACATGAGGCTCGTTGCGGGTTCTTTTTTGGGGTAGGGGTAGGGTTAGGTCTCTTCTTTGTTGTGTTTGTTGGGGTGGTCGCTCGTTACTCGGAAGTCCTTCCTTATGACCCCACAAAAGCTCTTGGGGGGGGGGGGGGGTTGCGCAAAATTTTCAGACAATCTGGTTGAGGCTCACATGCAGGTCTATGTATGTGTTTTTGACGCTCAAATTGAAACAGTTTAGATGGTTCAGGAGGCAGGGTTCCAATCCCATGCTGTGAGGGGTACAACGTTCCAGCAGAAAGACAAAGATCCTTGACAATAATTTCTCCCCACTAGGGAATTGAACTCAGGTCTTCTGCATGTGATAGTGCTGAGCCTTATCGCCACTCCAGTTATGCCGGTAACAAAAATAACAATTACAATAATAATTATAATGATGATATAATTTATTATGATATGCTGACGATCAAAAGAAAGCTGCCACTTTTTGTTTGTTTAAAAAAAAAAATCTAACGTTTTGAGTTTTTATGGTTTTCCTTTCACATTAGTAGTACAAAGTACTCTGAATAGTCACGTTATAAAAACAACATTTTGGTGCTTAAGATAGTGTTCACTGCACCCAGATCGAAAAACAGAGAACTGGCAGATTAAAAATATTCTTTGTATTTTATGAAGTTTAGGTCTTTGTTTATATTGAAAACAGCAATAACCTTTTATCATTGTCTCCCAAAAGAGATAGTAGGTCTGACTCAAACAGGAGAAAAATCCTGCCATCAGCACGCTCTGCACGTTTTTGCTGGTGCCAGGACTTTCAGTTTCAGCAGGAAACTGAAATTTAATGTCTTGGCAACAGGAGAAACACGTGAAGTGTGTCAATGGCTCGATTTCTCTGATGTCGAGTTATGTCTGCTATCTTTCTTGGGGGGACAATGATCAAATGTGTCACGCTGCGGTGGAATCAGGCGCTCATCAGTTATTGGATATATAATATAGAGGTGTATTCATATCAACTTAAAGCTTGTTCATTTGTCATGCTTTTGATTTTAAAATTACAAATCTGTCTTGAATACAAGTTTTCATATATATATATATACATATATGCAGTCAAACCTCGTTATACCACCTACCTTGGGACGAACATGCAGTTGGCGGTACAGGGGGGCTGACGGTACACCAAGGTTTTCATGTACTCTGTTAAATACATGTAGCACTAACAGCCCAACCTTCTGGCACTTAGACTTGAGCGTGAGTCTTCGCTGAATAAAAGCCGCTCGGGCATACCCCAGCCTGTAAGTTATTTCGGGCTGATATCTGGCAGTGCCAGATATTTTGCCGGGGGGTGTCGAAGTGGCGGCGTTCCTTCCAGTTTCTGCAGGCGACTTAAACTTTTCATTCCAATTTTTTTAAAAATATTGACCTAGCCTAAATAGCCTAAATGTAATAGCATTTTCATAATCAGCACATCTCGCGGGGAGCAAATTTTCATGTTGAATTACAAAGTTATGTTTTGTTTTGATTGTACTCTTCTACATTACACATTGTATTGTTCTCGCTTGCAACACACTACTACATCACTGTAGATGTACCCATTTTACCTGAAATCTGCAAGACAAGGATGGGGAGGTGGGATGGGCAGGGATGGAGTAAATTGGCGAAAAGCATTTGATCTAGATCTTGTCCTTGCTCGGAGAGACTTGTGTGTGGAGTAATATTATCAAGCCACCACCGAGTGGATGTGCCGTGCACCGTGTGTAGCCTTGTGTGTACTGCGTAGTTCTGGCGGCCTGTTCACTGGCGGTATAACAGGGTAAATTTTACAGCAGTTTAATAAGGACCGTACAACTGAGACAGTTGGCTGATGGCGGTGTAAAGGCGCAAATACTATGTTCATATAGGGGATTCTTTTCGTGCATTGGCAAAACCTGACGGTAAGTGGGACTGGCGTTACAAGTGGGGGGGGGGGGGGGTGTGATACAATGAGATTTTATATATATATATATATATATATATGTGAGACAGCGTGGTGGAATCAGGCTCTCGTCAATTTTTTGGGCATGTAGAGTTATTGGTATCATCTTAAAGCTTGTTCACGTGTCTTTATTTTGATGAAAATTATATCCATTTATCTTGAATACAAGTTGAGATATTTGCGAGAGAAAATGGCAGCCAAAGATTAGTTATTTCTTTAGCTTAAGAGTCCGTGGTAACTGAAAATTTACAATTTTTGTGCCTTTAATCAATGTTTTTAAGAAAAATCCACACTGAAATGAGTTCATTAATGGGCATGAAAGGTGTTGAGCCAAATAAAAAATAAAAAATTTTTATTCACGAACCTGCGGAAAAATGCAAGTTTCTTCACTTTGATTATTTTGACGAGAGCCTGATTCCACCTTGCTGACTCACATATATATATATATATATTGACTGAGTTGTGTTGTCCTCTTATGCATCATCATTTTATTAGGCTCTCTTGGTTTGACTGTGCTATATATATATATATACACACACACACATATACTAAGAGAAGTGGGGGTTGCCTAGTGTTAGTGGTAAAATTAACGAGAAAATGACCGCCAACATTTGTTGACTCCCAAAGGTGTTGTGTCTTTGGAGACTGCAAATTTACATTTTTTGTGCCTTTTATCAATTTTTGTCTGTAAAGTCCACTCAGAAATATCCTTCTTTTAAATGGACATAAAGTTTGTTGAGCCAAAAAGCAAAGTTAAAAAACAATTGCACAATGGTCAGAGCAATGCCGGTTTCTTCGATTTCATTATTCTAACAGTGCGCCTGATTTCACCACATTACGTCGCAAATGTTATTGCGGTATTGATCTACAAAAACCTAAACTTAAAAAAAAAATCAAAGAATAGAATAGAAAAAATCCTAAAAGTTATCGGAGAAAAAATGCCAATTTTCTATTTTATACTGTTGGTGCTCTTAGCACTAACTGAAGTAACAAAATGTTCTTTTTACAGCATGATCTACTTTTTAGACTACTTAGTATTACTCATGTGAAAGGAAAAGTATAAAGACTCAAAAGAGTAGATTTTATACACTATCAATGACTGGTTTCTTTCTTTTGAGCGCCAGTAGAGCACTGATAATGGAAAGAAGAACAAGAAAAGGGAGGAGGAGGAGGGGGATTAGATGAAGGAGGAAGATAAGGAAAAGAACTGATCCTTTCTTTGGAGTGTTTGAACACATTTCCCTCACAGGCCGGGCGCACTGTTACCTCAGTTGGTATCATACTGGACTACACTGACCATGGCCCTGGTTGGAATCACCGGCCAGACATTGTTGAACTGACTTGTTTGGGGATTTTTACTCTCTCTACTTTCACTTGGCAAAATCTTACTGGAGATGTACGTTAGATTGGGAGATCTTGTCTTTAAAAATTAGACGTACAGTCAAACCTGCCCTGACAGCCACCTCTATAAGACGGCCACCTGTACAAGCGGACACTTTCCATTTCCCCCTTGCGTTTTTTCTATATAATTTAACTGTGTAAAACGGGCACCTGTCCAACGCGGTCGCGGCCACCATATTTTAACACACAACCCCTATCACGCTAAGCAACAACACCTGTCTTAGACGACCACCTTAGTGACTCCATTACATTTTGTCATAAATTGTGCATTTGCCCCTGACGTTATGGGCGAGCCGTCATAATTCAATTACCTGACGTTGTTGTTGTTGTTAGGTAGTCCCTCCAACCGATCATGTTGCGTAGGCCCCTCCCACTGTTGACCAATAGGTACCAACTATTTTTAGCTGCTGGTGAGGTAAGCGTTTGATCCCTCATAACCCATAAGCCCCACCGAGAACTCTAACACTAATCGTAAGTGAGATGAGTGGTCAATGTTTACCCAGTCTGTAACAAAGTAACAAAGGACGTCAACATGAACTTGTGACAGAAGCGTCGCTCGTTCTCCGAGCTGTGGCGACCCGTGTGTTTGTTGTAACATAGTACTCGGTCTTCCTCGTCTGATACTTTTCGTTTTATTGTCGCCCTAATACAAAATCAGCAACAAAATAAAAATTACAAACAAAATACAAACCACCACCACCAACAACAAAAACAGCAATAATGCGGCTACTTTCGATTGGGACCTCAGATGGGAATGGTTCATTTTCTTCATCTTGATCAGTCCTGCCTAAGATGTCCACCTGTCTTATACGGCCACTTTTCTCCTTGACAATGGGTGGCCGTCTTACTCAGGTTTGACTGTAGTTTTGAAAGAGGTGCTAGACTTTTACAAAAGATTCTTATCATACCCTCAGAGAAAATAAGCCAGGATGGAAATATTAAAACAGAATTTTTACAAACGGAAATATTAGGTTTTGTGACTACCATGTTATTATGCTAGTTGGAAAAAAATCTGAGTTTGTGTTTTCAGTTTCTTACATAGTCTCCGTTACATGAAAAGCCTGGTATGGCTTAATTTGCAAATAGCAATACTGTTGGTTTGAAAGAGTTGTGATGTGATTAGCCTAGTGGTTAGGCTCTCGGACTCGCAACCGTAAGGTTGTGGGTTCGAATCCCGTCAGGGGCCCGACGTTTTGTCCTTGGGAAAGGCACTTTGCACAAATTTTCCTCACTTCACCCAGGTGGAAATGGGTACCCAGCTATAGACAGTGAAAGATCTTGTCAGTTTGATAGTGTTTGAGCGCGTGAAATCCGCAGCTTGCACTGTATGCTTCCACGGAAGCTGAGAATGTTTCTGAGTGTTTTCAGAGGGTCTGCTGGGGTAATAATAGTTGTGAAGCGCATAGAGCAAGCTCTTGAGCATGGATATGCGCTATATAAATGCAATTATTATTATTATTATTATGTTTGTAGGGAGAATGTCGTGTGGCAGAAAAGTCTACCGTTGTTCTTGACCTTTAAGAGTGATGTCACTGTACAGGTCCTGAGCCACACAATGGAGAATATCACAGAGGGACTTGATCAACTACGATCAGAGATGGAAGGAACCGTAGAAACACTGGAGGCGGGATGGGAGTCCAAGTTGGAAAGTCAAAAGCAGTTTAGTAATAATAGTAATATTGATGATGATGATAACGATGATTATAATGAAAGTACTGCTAGTACTGCTACTTCTATTAATGATAGAAATAATCTAAATAATGATATAACGTTGCACCATTGTGCTATAATCTGGCGCTCATCAAAGTAAGGAAGTCAAAGAAACCGACATTTTCTCACCCCTTCTGTTATTTTTATCCTTTTTTCTTTTAAGTGGCTCAAAAAACATATTAATATATACATGTATATATATAATATGTCTTTTTTAAAGAATAATTTTATGTTGGTTTTTAACTGAAAAAGTTTGATCACAAAAAATGTAAATTAGTGGTTTCCAAGGACACTCCAGCTTTTAGTGGAAGTCACCAAATTTTGGCGGCCATTTTCTGGCAAATTTTACCAGGTGACCCCCCACCCGCTTCTTTGGATGTATCTCGACTTTTATTTGAGATAGATATCTATTGTTTTCATCAAAAGCAAGACAAATGAACAAAACTTTAAGATGATTTCAGTAACTCTATATTTGTAAAGTTACCTGGCGGTCCGATGAGTCGGGCCTGTCACGGGGCCCCCGTCCCAGATAGATGTTGCCTTGTCCCTGTCTCGTCTGCGACTGAATCTCTCAGTGAGTCTCTCAGACGATCTCCACCTATGTTCCCGCGGAACCTTGTGACGTCATCCAAGGGCGTGCCTCTCCCTTAATTATTTTGTCCCCACAGTAACTTTGTGATTTGTTGAGACCTGTTCGATTCACTCCACCGCATTGGGCATTCAGTCAGTCTGGAATCTAGATTTTACTCAAGGGCTGTGTTGCTAAGAGACAAAGTTCTATCGAACATCTATCTTCCTTATCTCTCCCCCTTCTCTCCTATCAAACATCTATCTTCCTTATCTCTCATCCTTCTTTCCTATCAAACATTTATCTTCCTTATCTCTCCCCCTTCTCTCCTATCTAACATCTATCTTCCTTATCTCTCCTCCTTCTCTCCCATCAAACATCCATCTTCCTTATCTCTCCTCCTTCTTTCCTATCAAATATCTATTGTCCCTATCTCTCCTTCAATTTTTTGTGTGTTACTATCGGTGTTGCAAGTGCTGTAAAACTCTTACTCAAACAAAAACTGGACAACAATCCAAACCCTTCTTTGTGACATCACTGCACAGGTCCTGAGCCAAGCGGTGGAGGAAAACAGAAGATTTTGTGTAAACCAGACACACGACTTGGTGGAGAAGTTGACGGCCAGTTATGAGCTCAAGTTGGACGACCTTAAAGCTAGTCATGAGCTCAAGTTGGAAGCCCTGAATTCGAGTTATGAGCTCAACTTGGACGCCCTGAAGCGCCTGTTATTGGTGAGAATGTCTTGGAGTGTTTATTCCCAATTATTGACAAGTAAACATTTACCCAGAAGTGGCTGATAATATGTTCCTCAGCAGTACAGAAAGAAACCACGTCCAGAGAGAAATGGTGAATAAAGTACCGGTTTAGTGATCTTTGTGTGTCTTTGGTTGAGGAAAAAACTGGAACTGAAAAAATGGACTCACTAGGTGATATCCTTTGCATTTCTGCCTTTTTTAAGGTCTGAATGATAAGATTCTGGTTAGGACTTCCAAATTATCCTCAAGAAAGGGTTGTCAACCTCATGTACCATCCCCACCCTGACACACACACACACACACACACACACACACACACACACACACACACACACACACACACACATGCACACACACACACACCTGTACGCACACACACACACACGCATGCTCGCGCGCACACGTACACAACCACACGCATTCACCCTGACACACACACACACATACACACACACACACTCACCCGCATTCACGCTGCACTCACACACATACACACACACTCATCCATACGCACACACACACATACACACACATAAATATACACAGACACATAAACACACCCACAGACACACACATAAACACACACACACACACACTCACTTCAGATGTTGTGTTTGGCCTTGACCTTGCTCACCGGGCCAGCATGGATACCAACGCCCACCAGTATTGGCTGTTGAAAACGTTAGTCCCTACCATACTGACAAATAGCCTGCGTTCTGGGTAAATGTTTACTTGTCTCATTTCTCTGCCCAGATGCTCTTCAATAACCTTTATTGTCCCAACCTTTCCCCATGGCCTGTCTGTTCTAGTTTTTTTATGTAAGATATTGTCGGTCTACCTCTGCCTCTTTTTCCTTGACTGACTGACTGGGAGATAAACTAACTGACTGACTGAGGGAATTAAACGATTGATTGACGGAGAGGTCAACTGACTGACTGACTGACTGAGAGATAAACTGACTGACTGAGAGATAGACTGACTGATTGTCTGAGATATAAATTGACTCACTGACTGACATGAATTGACTGAGAAATGAATTGACTCACTGATTGAGTGATATATGACTGATTTACAGAAAGATAAACTGACTGACTGATGGAGAGATAAACTGACTGAGAGAATTAACAGGCTGACGGACTGACTGAGAGATAAAATGATCGAGATAATTAACAGACTGACTGACTGAGAGATAAACTGACTGACTGACGGACTGACTGACTGACTGACTGACTGACTGATTGACTGAGAGATAAACTCACTGACTGACTGAGAGATAAACTGACAGACTGACGGAGAGATAGACTGGGGAACGGGCTGCAGCATTGACAGACACTAGGTTACTTAGGGGTAAACTCTCTCAGCAGGTCTGACTTCACGCAGCAGCCAAACCGACCGCACCCCACCATTTCCCACAACCGTTCATCTAACTCTCTCTCTCTCTCTCTCTCTCTCTCTCTC